ATATTATATAAACAGTAAACATACTTACAAGTGCATTGTTTATATAGCTGCGAATAATAAGGTGTAATAACAGTGTAATATTACATCCTCTAGCCAGTGAACTTTCTACATACTGCACTTTATATGGTTTCAAAGTTTAAAGTAGCAGATAGTGTGGCTTACATATTGTTATATCTTCTTTACTTTCATTTGTACCTTTTTAGACGTAGAAGACAGATATGTCTTTATTAGGTGTACTTAATGCTTTGTTTATGTAGCAGAAAGACAAGTTTTTTTTTATATGTTGATTTTGTAAAATAATTCACTGACATAGCTTGTCCTCTAGAAAAAAAATTACCTGATAAACTAAATAAGACTTGTTAGAATACTGAATACAAGCATTCAACAAATTGAGGAAGGAATTGACTGCTACTCCTGTATCACCATACCCAACTCTTGAAGATCACTCAGATACAGGTGCAAGTGATTTTACAGCGGGAGTAGAGTTATTACAGGTACAACATAGGAAAATAACACATGATTGCCTATTATGAAAGGCAATAAATACTGCAGAAAGAAGGTATTGTACAACTTGGAAAGAGCTACAAGGTGTTGCTCAAGCCCTAAAATATCTCCATCATTGCCTTCAATAACAAAAGTCTACACGCCGGACAGGTCGTGCAGCACTGAATTAGCCGGTGAATGTTAATAGTACAGAAGACTTGATAACAAGATGTCTTCAGAAACTTTAACATCACAGAACAATGGAAATGACGATGCATTATTCCGAAGGCTAGCTGTTAAGAGAAAACGTAAATACTGTGAAAAGAAAAAATTATAAGCTATTAAAGACTACAAAGCTAAAGTACAACAAGATGAGACATTCGTTGAAAAAAACTCAACTGAAAGATGCCCAGGCAAAGAGTACGAGTTTAAAACTAATTATCCAGTGGATTAATAACAGTGCAGTCAAATACTTGTGGAAAACCAGTCCATACAGCTCAAAAACAGAGATATGCTGGGCACAGTGGAATTCATTATGTCTACAAGAGGGCTTGTTACGTCGGAAATGGGAAAATACCAGTGGGTAGAAAAAACAACTACAATTGATACTTCCACGATCAGAAGCACTCCATAACTTAGGTGTTAAAAAGACACTGGAAAGAGTAAAATAATAGTTCTATTAGATTTAGTGTTGAGGATCTGTAAAAAAAAACTGGTGTAAATCATGTGAACTATGTTGTGAGCGAAAAGGTCCACATACAAAAACAGCATGGGCAGCTACAACAGTATTGTGTTTGTTGGAGGACCACTTGAGAGAATAGCTTTCATTGTGTTTGTTTCTCTACCAGTGGTGATAAATACAACATGGTTGTGATGGACTATTTTAGCAAATGTCCAGAAGCGTATGGTGTTCCTAACCAGAAAGTCTAGCAAGGAAACTTTAGATCATAAGCTTTGTTTTGTTAATCAAAATGTTTATTATACTTTACTTTTATAACACCTTTAATTAATAATATAATGAGTGTAATGCCTAATTGGGAATATTGATTTTAAATGATGACTTTATTGCTCTTCATGCAATGTTTACTTATCAATTCAATCACTGGTGAACAGACTCACCAACTCTTACTGTCTGACTCGCTAAAACTCTAATAAACCCTGAACTCTCAATCATTCTAACTCACACAGTCTGATGTTTTTATATTAATACACTACTATAGGAAACTTCTGAAATGTTGCATCTTCATTGCGTCCTGACAAACTACCTATAGCAAAAATACATCTAAAATAAAATATTAAAAGTATAGCTTGCAGTAGTACTGTTTACTTCACAAGGATACTTGGTATAAAATACTTATCCCTTGGATGTGTTTTTATAGCTTTTAGAGTTAATCAAAGCCTTTTGTTAAAATTAAGATATTTTGATTCATTTCTGTGTTATTGATTATCACTCTAGTAGAGTTAAGTAATAATTATGTGGTATTTTCTGATAACACTGATTTGCCCAACTAGTAACAAGATAAGTCTGTTGAGCAACAGGAGATTCTTAAAGATATTTACTGTGAATTAATTCTGTATTATCTGACCGAGTGTGTGAGAAATAGAGAGACTGAAGAGAAATGCACAATTACAATAAATAATATTTATTAAAACAAACAGTGAAGTCACCTTTATTAGAGAAGTAGGTTTTAAATTATTTCATGGTGTAGTTCATAGATTAACTCGGAGGAGATTGTACAGGACTAATTCTGTTTGAATCGTTTTCAAGTCTGAATATATCTCAGTGTTCCTTACTTAACCTGATTGGTCATTCCCAGTGAAACATAAGGGAGGTCATAACCTCAAGAGATCACTTAACTTCCAGTGGAAAAGATAACTGTCTAACTTCAGATACTACAGGTGAGATTTAGCTATCTTAACCACAGAAAAACAAAAGGTGTACTATAGGGGAATGATGCAGAACAATAGGTAGCTAGAGCAAAAGGAACTTAATGATGTTTTTTGCCAACATATTATGCGGAAACTGCACAAATAAAAAATTTTGAAAACATCTTATAAAGAATTATGTTTGTTGTGAAAGAAACGTAATAGGGTGTATTAGGATAAATAAACTGTGAAAGATTGTTATAACTCATCAACTTTTCTTTTTTTATTTCAGCTTTATTCCGTTTTTGCTGCTATTTTTCTATGGTGTCTAGACGGACTACATGTAAGTTTCACAAAATGATAAATTGTTGATGTGATTCCGAAAAAGTTAACTTAGTGTTTTAATTCTGCTTATTTGTTTCTGTTACATGAGCTAGAATTACTAATAAGTTTGGTTTAAGGTAATAGGAGGTAATGCTGTAGATTAACGTGACACACTAAACACAGTATGAAGTCATGTCCTGACATGTTAGGTTCTGAGATAGTGTTAAGTCATATGTTAAAATGAAGTGACATGTAAAACTAGAATCAGGTTAGATGGTATGAAGTCAAGTTCTAAAGCTCTATGGTCATGGATTGTGTGGTTTTGAAGACTTAGTTTATTAAGCAACGATATTTTGATTTGATCATTTATATAGTATATTGTTGCGTATCTGCTTGTTTGTTAATTTCCAGTATAAATTCTTTCCGAGGAACTTCAGCAATACAAGTCCCTTCTTGATTAAAACTAGTTTATTCTTTCTCGATACAAACTTTTT